GTGGGCGGCGGTCTGCATCCAGCAGTGGATGTATCACGCCTGCTGTTGATGTTCACATTATTATCGTGAGCAATGTGGCGCTTAATTGCTCGTCCGCCAAGCCACTCTCGCCTTACGCGAACAAGTTTGTGTGGAATCGGAATCGTTGAGTTTCAATGGCGAGGAAACAGAAATATCATTTTTAAAATAGGTCACGTTCAGCGTGCGGCTCATCCACACGGAATAAAATGCATAATCAGTACGGCCAACAAATATGACAAGAGAATTAATTTTGCACAGAGAGAGAGAGAGTGAGATAGCTCCCTTTGTCTCGGTGCATTCATATCAAGAACGCGAGGCACACAACAGGAAATGAATTTGTTAAAAATACATTTTGACGTTTGCAACCACCACAAAGAATTGGTTTTCTGATAGGTTTTCAAAAGAAGTTTATATATACACAATGTAACGCTGCAAACAGACCCACCTCCTGGGTGCACAGCTTTTCGGTGGTTCATGCAAATTGAGAATTGCCACCACGGTTCTTGATATTTATACGTTAAAAGATGCATGATCTAAACGCGTAGCCTGCGTGAATGTATGAAGGCTGCATTAGCCCAGCGTGCCTTTGAAGGAGTTCTGCAAGCAAAGATTGCCCACGCTTAAAATAAACCGCAGCTCCGCCACGATACGAAGGCATCGTCGCGGCTGAGAATAAAATAACATTACAGCAACAACAAAAAACCCAACAACAACAACAAAGCCACCAATGAAAATGGAAGGGTCCACATGCCCAACAATGATGTCATCAAGCGCGTGGAGCTCACGCGATCAAAGCCGCGTCAACGCGACCTCCCCCGCACGCATTACAACGGCAAGGGCGCTTCCCATTAATGCGTAAATCCCGCGCAATCATTGGGACGACCCCAGTTAGATTCCTCGCCACGGCTGGCGTCAGTGGGTGGCGAGTTCTATCGGTGCAAACCTATGGTATGTACGTGTGTTGAGCTTCTTTTGCGCCGTACGTAGCCCACCGTGCTAATCGGAGGTGCCACTCGACGGGACACGAAGGGACGCGCTGGTTTGGCAGATATCCAAACACGACCGGGATACATTTTGAATTTGGACCGGGGTTGCGGGGAGGAGGGGATGGGGAGCATGAAACAACGAGTGCTGCTCTATGAACCTCAGCAACTTGAGTTCAATCCCTGGCCACGGCTAACAAAGTGGCGAGTGATATATGAACAGTTGCTGGCAATGCCACACCCGACCCTTTCAAGAAGCCGCGCTGACCAGCGTGGCGAAGTATGATCAAACGACTCGCGATGACCAGTGCGGCGTGGGACCTGCAGCGGTTTGACAAAGAGTTGTAAGTTATGGCAATAATAATCATAATATTAACAATAATAATCACAATATTAACAATAATAATCATAACCTTAACAATAATAATCATAATATTAACAATAATTATCATAATATTAACAATAATAATCACAATATTAACAATAATAATCATAATATTAACAATAATAATCACAATATTAACAATAATAATCATAATATTAACAATAATAATCATAATATTAACAATAATAATCGGTGTATGGCGTGTGCGCTTGTCGCAGGAGTTTACTTGGCAAACACGGAGAGAGGCTTCCAGCGGAATCAACGAGCCTCTTTGACGCACGCCGCTGTCGCCGCCGCAGAGAGAAGGCGGCCACTTTGCATTCCTGGGCCACGTTGACATTTGCTCGCGTTTAATAATCAAACAATACGGGCGCAAAGTGCGCCGCAGTGGTAACATATATTTAGTATTTAAATTGAAACCGCTACCGGCATGTTTATAATGTTAGTGATTGGTGATGCAGGATGCATGGCATAGGGGTGGTTTTCTTCAGCGCGGGTATTTTTTTTATTATTCACTTTTTTAGCCAGTACATCCCCTCCCGTATACCAGAAATGTCTAAATGACCCCGAATTCAAACAATACAAATTCTCATTATTATTTGAAGAAGAAGAAATACATTGCCACATTGCCCTCTCGAGAAGGCAATTAAACTCACGCAATGTGACGGCGTTGTGGCGGAAACTTCGAGTAGCGCGATGGGCTACGTACGGTGCGAAAGAAGTCCATCATGCATACATGCATCCATTTAAATGCCCCCATGTTGATCGAGTTTCCGTGGCAACGGCGGGATTTTTTTAGCTTTTCCCCGACTCCACGTGGCGAGTACCGGCGTCTCCTGGCGCTTCGTGCCGTGTGCACAACCCCCCCACCCCCCCCCCCCCCCCCGTGCAGGCGCATTGCGATCCCACCCGTGCAGGCGCATTGCGATCCCAGGCAACGTGAACGGCGCGCAGATTTGGGGGCTCCGCGGTGGCGAGATGTTAACTGCCTCGCCTGGGACACAGGAGGTCGTGGGTTCGATGCAGACCCTGACGCCTGCTGCTGTATATTTTGTGTTTGTATGTTCTCCCCCCCCCCCCACCCCGCGGCCGCGTGGATTCTTCCCCGGGTCCTCCGGGTTTGTTCCCTCCACATTTAGCATCAACATCACCACGCGTTTAGAGTATTGTTCAGAGTATTTGGCTGCTATACATTTCCACGTGACAAGCCACTTCGTTCAGCTATCATTTCTGGCCTGGTCCTGTTAAAAAAGAGCTAAACAGCTCAGTGGGGCCTCACCTGGTAAAATAAAAATAAAAATGTTAATGGTTGTATTTACCGGTGGCTATCGTTAAATAATAATACAAATCATAACATAGCCTCCCCCTTCCCCACCACATTTGTCAACTCACTTGCTGGATGCATTCCTCTCTCCTTGCCGTGTGGGTCACGCGGATTGCCTGACCGTGCTTTGATCACACTGCTGAAATGAGGGGGGGGGGGCTGGATTTTTGTTCGACCATACTTCACCACGCTGGTCAGTGCGGGTTGCTGAACTGGGAAACGCAGGACGGGTTTGGATCTCGGGGTCGTCGGGATCATACCCCAGTTTGCGTGAAACCACTGCTCCGCAGTCAAACCCCATATCAGCCCATAAATAATAGATTGCACCTGAAGCTTGGTAATTATGCATTCTACTTCGGTGTTATCATCGTCATCATGGTTGTTATTATCATATATTGTTAGCGCTTTAGGCCGCTTAGGCCAGCACTGAGTCTAGGAACGGTTCAGACATCACTCACCAACTGATGTTAGCCGTGGCTGGCGTTGTGAACACCGCTCATCGCACTTGGTTAATATCCAACGCAGGTGTAGAATTACCTGCGGGGGTGCAGGGGAGGGTGGGGGCGGAGGTGATGTGGAGGCAGACTGCTGTCTGACGTCCGTGCGATGTCGCGGGTGTGCGAGACGAGGGACCGCTGGACTCTGTGCGTCCCGCGAGAGACGTGAGTCTCAGCAGCCGCGCTGTCTGCACGCAACGTGTGCGCGGAGAGGCTGCTGGTGGTGGTGGTGGTCGTGGTGGTGGTGGTGGTCGTCTGGCAGCGTCTGGAGTCGTTAGCCAATCGGCCTTTAGCCACAAACGCCGCGACAAGTGGGCAAATGCACAACTTTTTTGTTGGCCCCTCTCTCCCGATACTTTCCATTCATTGGCTACCACATTCTGATGAGCCCCTCCCCCTCTCCTCCCCCCTCAACTCGCTTTTAAGGGATTACATCTTGAATCATTGCCTCACTTGATGCAGCTGATCTGGCTGTGACTGTCCCACCTGATGACGGAGACTTGTGTTGCCTCCGAAACGTCGTGATCTTTATTTTTATTTTATTATTTTATTAATTTTGAAGTTTTACCTACGTGACTTTACCGAAAACACCTAAGAATATGATTCCTTGCAGTCACGAAAGCTTCAAGTCTAGAATTAAATTCACAACTATGAGCAAGGCAACAGCATATACAGAGCTGTCAAACATGAAGGGTCTGATTCACATTCTTTTTTGGGGTTAGTGTCCAAGACCGATCAATAGGGCAGCTCGTCAAGATGAGGTCCTTCACCCGATTCACCGAGGCGTGAATCGAGACCCACAAATGGAAGCACCTGGAAAGTGAAAAGGTCCGAGCTGGAAGTGGCAGGGGAACCACGCGAGATCCCGGTGTCAATTGCGGGCGGCCGAAGCCTGGATTCGAACCCAGGTTCTCAGCGGTACCGACTCGGCGCTCTTAATCTCCCAGGCCACCCATGCAGCAGGCCTCCTCTTGACGAGCGATGTTCAAACTCGTCTGGCCACGTTCACATTCTCGGCGACCCCGCGCCGATGTCTCCATTGGCCAGCGTCGTCAAGATGTGGCGGCGCTCGCCCTGGGGGGGGGGGGGGGGTGTCGAGCGCGGCGTCGGTGGGAGCCCGTCGAGTGATCAGCCGCGTGCACGCGAGCCGTGTGGGCGCGCTTCCCTGCGTGGGTGTCTGAGCACGCGTGCGTCTGTGTGTCTGTGCGCGTGCGTCTGTGCGTCTGTGTGCGTGCTTCCGTGTGTCTGTGTGTCTGTGCGCGTGCGTCTGTGCGTCTGTGTGCGTGCTTCCGTGTGTCTGTGTGCGTGCATCTGTGCGCGTGTGTCTGTGTGCGTGCATCTGTGCGCGTGTGTCTGTGTGTCTGTATGCGTGCTTCTGTGTGTCTGTGTGCGTGCTTCAGTGTGTCTGTGTGCGTGCTTCAGTGTGTCTGTGTGCGTGCTTCCGTGTGTCTGTGTGCGTGCTTCAGTGTGTCTGTGTGCGTGCGTGTGGGCGCACTTCTGGAGCGGTCAGTACGCTGCGCCCCTGAAACCCATCGACCCGAGTTCAATTGCCGCTCACGGCCAACAACGGTGGCGTATATCTGAACCGGTCTTGGGCCTCCCATAGGTCGACTCAGCCTAAAATTAGTAACATCGCCACTAGGGAGACAAATGCGGCCGGGCGTGACGTTGGCCACCCATCCCATCGTGTGCCGTGCCGGCCTTCATAGGTGCTCGCTAACAGCACTTGCCCCGACAGTCTGTGAAGGCTACACGGGGGATCTTTGTCTTTGTGTGCGTGTCGCGTGCAGACTGCCGCGTGTTCGTGGCGGGCGGCATGGGCGCGGACACGACCCCGCTGGCCACGCTGTGGGAGTACGAGGCCGTGCGGGACGCGTGGCGCGCCCTGGCGCCCATGCCCACGCCGCGCTATGCCGCCACGGCCTTCGTGCGCGGGGGCAAGATCTACGTGCTGGGTGAGTCCACAATTCTGCCGCGTCGTCGTCCTCGTTGTCATCGTCGTCATCAGCAGCAGCAGCACCAGTAGAGTCAACATCATCAGCGGCGCAGTAGCGTCGTCATAATTACCACCATCACCAGCAGCGTCGCCATCGTCATCAGCAGCAGCAGTAGTAGCAGCAGTAGCGTCATCATCATCAGCACCAGCATCGGTAGAGTCAACATCATCAGCAGCAGCAGTAGTAGCAGCAGTAGCGTCATCATCATCATCAGCAGCAGCATCGGTAGCATCATCAGCAGCACCAGTAGAAGCAGAAATAGCATGATCGGCACAATTATTATTACTACAGTGGCCTACCCGTGTGAGTGACGTCATGGGTTCTTGAACGTCCACTGTAAATCAGATGGCGCGGAGTGTCTGTGTGGTTAATGCGCACACCGCAGTATTGATCAGGGCGGCCGCCGCGTTCGAACCGTGCGCCTCTTCAAGACGCGGACGAATGCGCCACCGCTGGGCCGTGTCACAAAACTCTATCAGTGCCAAGAGAGATCTGAAATAGATTACCGTTAACCACAAGAACAAAAAACTGCATTTTTTTTACCAGATTCCCGAACATTTAGAAATGTCTAGAGCAATAGAGATGACGTGTTTAGCTTTTTTTAACTGATTATATCTAAGGGAGCTGCCACAGTGGTTCAATGGTGTGCACACGGGACTTGGCGTTCAGAGTTCGCCGGTTCGACTCCCATCTCCCCGCGCTGCAGCCGAGACAGTGATGCAAGTTGCAGTGAGTGCGATCATTCCTGGAATCCACTGGGATTGGTTACCGGTTATCGTTTACCAACTCTGATCTGGATTGATTCTGCTCCACCCATCCGGGGTCTATTACCCCCCCCCCCCCCGACACACCGTTCACCATCAGCACTTAAATTAAAATGAAGATGCATCTGAAGACGCTATAAACAAAGAGTGGAACATCACGACGAGCCACCAAAAAGAGAGATACGTTTAAAATATATATTTAAGAAACGTCACTGACAGGTGACAGTCCTAAGCAGAAGACCAGAGGGAGGCCCTGAGCGTGGACTCCAACAACAGGAGCAGAGCGTCAGCAGCACGGACGGCTGGGGGAGGGGGGTTCAGATCACGGGAGCAAAGACAGAGATGCTGAGACCACATGGGTCTCGCACAAAAGTTCGCTGATCTCAACAGAACCGTTCCATTTTGCACAGATGTGTTCAGATCAGAAGCCCTCATTTATGTACTCGTGGTGGGTGAAATGTGAGCCCGTGTCTGAACATGTCTCATCAGAACAGAAGGAAATCTGAACAGAAGGAAGTCTGTTCCGATAAAAGGGCTCTCGATTTCCAGCTGGGTGAGGATCATCCGGCCTCAGTGGCATTCGTGGCTTTGATCTCCACAGATCTGTTCAGACTTGAGCAGATGTGTTCAGATCAAAGGTCCAGATTTACATCTCCGTGGGTTTCCTTTGGCAGCGTTCACACAAGCGCCTCTGATCTTCACAGATCTGTTCACGTTGAACAAGTCTGTCTACATCAAGGGCTCTGTGACCGGAGCAAAGTACAATTGTTTGAAATCCGTGTTGATATTATTCGTGCATTTCCATATTATTCGTGCATTTCCATTCATCCCGTATTTTAGATTCCCGCGTGTGCCGTGTCAGTTGTCCTATTAGAGTGACCGGTTTGGCCGTGAATTCCTCGGATCTGGCACTACCCAGGAATAACTGTTGTATGAATAACCGCCGTGTGTGTTTAGTTTGTGAGAGCAAATGTTGCAAGCAAGCCCCGATTAAGGAAGGCACGGCACACGAGTGGGTGGTGTGACCGAATGCCTACATTTTGAACCAGCACTTGCCCCAACCGTCATAGGGCGACAACGGGGAACCTTTGCCTTATTTGCATTTAGTTTGGCGCAGAATTCTGACACTACCAATTTCTTTCCACTAAGGAAACAAGTCCCCACTTCACAAAGACAAAGATACCCCGTGTAGCTAAACAGAGTGTTGGAGCCAAGTGCGTTAGCCAGAACGTATCAAAGCCAGAACAGCGTACAGTGAGGTGGAGGGGCGAACAACACCCCAGGGCAGATGTTCAATGGAGGCATCAGCTGCTTATTGCAGGCCGAGTCAACCTAGGGGAGGACCCAGAATAAGTGCAGATATCACCACTGATGTTCGCCATGGCTGGGGATGTTGACCAGGTGGCTGCGTGGTTCAGGCACCGCATGAACAACTACGGCGCCGCCCCTCCCGGCTGCACCCGCACGCGCGCACAATGTCACGTGGCTCACGTATCATGCACAACCACAAGGTGACCTCTCCCTTTGTGTGTTTGCCACAACGGAAGCGGCTGCCCCAGGTGCCGTGGTCGTGCCGAGACGCTGGGATGGCCCGCTTTGCTACCCTGTGTGACTGACTGGTTTCGTGCAGATCGCGGTTTAATTTGCAATCCAACAATTTGCTAGAATGCCGCGTTTTGGTGTGCGCGATTTGTCTGTGTATGCAAGTGTTTTATCGGCCTCCCCGAGGTCGATTCAAATGGGTACCTGCTGCAGTGTTTAAGCATCGCCACTAGGGATACAAAGGCGGCCCGGCGTGGTGCTGACCACCCAACCCCTCGTGTGACCGTTGCCGGCCTTCACAGGTGCTCGCTAACAGCACTTGCAACCAACAGACTGTCGAGGCTGTGCGGGAGTCTTCGTGTTTTATTGTGGCCATACCAATAGTTGGCAGGCCGTCACTTACAACGGTGGCCAATTAATCGTTGCAGAGGCTTTTTATTTTAATTGAGGGGGGGGGGGGGGTAGGGAAAGCAGCCACAGAAACTGTAGCACGGTGGGGTATCCACTGTGACACGTGCACGTGTACCCGCATGCATAATGCGACATTAACGCGCGTGCATGCACAAAGACAAAGATCCCCCCCCCAGTATAGCCTTTAACAGACTATACGGGGGCAAGTGCTGTTAGCAAGCACCTATTAAAGCCGGCACGGCACACGAGGGGGTGGGTCTTTGACTCCCCAGTGGCGATGTTTACACGCTACACCAGGTGCTCATTTGAGGCTGAATCGACCTAGGGGAAGCCCACGAGCGGTTCAGATAATCGTCACTGGTGTTGGCCGTGAGCAGGAATCGCCGAGTTCATAGCGCAGCGTGCTAACCACTACACTACCGCTCCCCATAACCACACACACACTCACTCACTCTCACGCACATTGCATATATGAATTGTGGACAAAATGAGTGAACGTGGTACCACACGTATGTCCCCTTTACTTCAACCACGTGAGCAACTATTGAGGCCATGGGCCTCCTTTTCAAAGGATTCCTGGGTTGTAGTTGTTGTTGTCGACAACCTGCACCTTCCCACTGCGGGCCGAACGTCCTCCCACCACTCGCAGTCAAGTAGTGGCCTGCCGACTCTGCGATGTCGTCTCGCTGCTGCTGCTTCTGCTGCTTCTGCTGCTGCTGCTTCTACTGCCATGTCACCTTCCGCTGTCTCCCCCTGCTGTTTCACTCTTCCCTTGCTCCCTCGGCCTCCACTCGCACGGAGTTTCGTTTCGTCCCTCGTCTCTTCATCAGCTGTTTCTCGTGACGTGTCCTGGCCCAATTCCACTCGTTTTAATGCTGCTGCAACAGCAGCAGCATCGGTGACCTCTGCTCCTTTCCCGACTTCTTAATTCCTTAACAAATCTCTTAGTCTGACTCCTCGATCCTTGACAAACCCGAGACACCGAAGCGCACACGGTAGACGAATACCAACGAGCACACGGGAGTTCCCGTACGTACTCGGCACGAATGCACACGCACGAGGAGTCGAGGAGCACGAAGACTGCCACACTACACAGAGGCGCCGCGGTCATTGCCGTCCATTCATCTTTCGCGTAAGCTAACGATCGGCACCAAAAGCGTCCCAGTGGGCGTCCGAGAACCACTAATGAGACTCGGGCCCACGGGCCCCGAGTCACAGCGACTGCGTCCGCGCGTGGCACGTTTCAAAGGGGAACTCCGAGACCGGCATGCGCACGCGTCCATCGAGCCAAAGTCCAGAATTTTTAGTTTTTTAACGAGGTAGAGTACGCGTTGTTCTTTAACGGAAACTAAGAGTCAGCTGTCATTTTCATACTCTGCTCAAGATCTTCTCCTGTACTCAAATGAATCTGCCCTTTTTCACGGATTAAAATTCCAAGACGATACGTTTTTGTGAGGTTTTTTTTTAGTATTCTTTCGGATTTAAATAATATTCTGGCGAAAAAATTACATCGATCGGAGGGCAAATTGAACATTTAGAGCTATTTTTAAAACAATGGGATATTTCCCAACCGCGAGCTGTAAAACGTTCGCGGTGATGCTGACGCGATGTAATCCGCTGGACGTGAAATCCAGAGGTCGCTGGTTCGAATCGATCCCTTGGCAAGGAAGTTGACCCATTGGGACCAGTTTCTTAAATCCCCCCACTCCCCACCACGTCTGCCCACCCACAAGTGATGGGTTGGCAGGTCCCCTGTGGAGGGGTAGAATGCGGGTTCGAGTTTTAAGTCCACAGTTTTGTTGTTGTTGTTGTTCGTTTCAATCCGGCGAGAACTCAACAGGCCAGGGCGAGTCTCGTTTTCACAAGAGTTCCGTGCTTCTCGCCAAATCGACGAATGCAAAACAAATAAAACCGCAGGTTACTCCCACCGCTTTAAAGACGTCTCACCAGGCGCGGAAGCAGTCGGGCGAAATTATCCGCTGGAGCCCCCTCGAGTAGCGGAGGCCTTTCCGCCAGCGGTGTCATGGGCCCAGAAATTGCAAGGGCTGCACCTGTACCCGGATTTTTTGTTTATATATTTATTTATTTACGCCACCGTCTGAATTATGAACGAGTGCTCGCGGTGGCGGGCGTATTTGCGCGGCCCGTGGTTTCATTTCGCTTCGGGGCCAATTTCACCTCTCGCTTCACGAGATATCCAGAGGCAAGAACGAATTTGTATTTATTTATTTTGTTGTAAGA